GGGCGGGGCGGGGCGGGGCGGGGCGGTGGCGCGCGCCCACTTTGAAGTCCACTGCAATCACTCGATTGTACCGGCGAAAGGGATGCCGCGCCGAGCACGCGGGGTCGGTGGCCGCGGGCCGGGCGCGGTGCTCACAGCGGCCACCACGGGCAGCCCTTCTCGTCGGCGCCGTTCGAGCACCAGATGACGCGGTCGCAGCGCGAGGCCGCCGGCAGGCAGCGGCCGTCGCAGAAGACGGCGCCGCCGCGGCAGTCCTCCGGGTAGCTGCAGCCCTCCTCGTCCATGCCGTTGTCGCAGTTCTTGATGCCGTCGCACTGCTTGGAGGCCAGCACCGTGCTGCCCTCGCTGCACTCGAACACGGGCCTCGTCGGGCAGCCCACCTCGTCGGCGCCGTCCGCGCAGCGCGCGATGCCGTCGCACCTGCCCGAATAGTCTCATCAGTACACTGCAAATCGGGGGTGTGTCCAGCTACTGTGCGACTTGAGTTGCACGACCCTAGAACCTATGCAACTTAAGTTACAGCTACTGGACACCCTCGATTTACCGAGTAGGCATAACAATCTGCAGAGTTGCCTCAGAAGAGCGGCGAACAACGCGAAACAATCGGGAGAACATTTACTGACGAGGGTGCTCCCTGCTACGCACTGTTACCTGTGAGCGCAGCGGCCCTCGCAGAACACGGCCGTGGCCGCACACTCCGTGCAGTTGCGCTCGTCAGCTCCGCTGTTGCAGTTGATGTTGCCGTCACAAACGTACTTCTTGTCGATGCAGCGACCCTCGCCGCACGCGAATCCTACCTCCCTGAAGGCAGGAATTGGAAGTTGATACACCGAAGTTATCAAAACTCCTACACCGTGTAGGGGTGTTCTTGGTGTAAGGTTCAGGAAAAACGTCAAGTGCCATACGACTTCCATTATGCTTCTTCATAGATCAACGTCAAATTTTCATCGAAATCTAAAATTTACACCTGATAAGGATATACCCTGTTAGGCCACTGAAAGGCAAGGCCTAAGGTCTTAGCAGATCTAAGGAACCACGGGGAACTGATATCACAACTGCAAATTTAGTAGGAGATATTAACCAGAAACTGAATGAATGTTACACTTTAATTGGTGCTCGGCACGTGTGGGGGCTGGCCACGTCGTGGGCCTCTGCCAGTACTCACGTATTGCAGCCCGCGCCCTGGGAGGCCCCGGTGGCCAGGAGGAGCACGGCGACGGCCAGGAGGCCCCGCAGGCCTCGAGCTCGTGCAGAAGCCATGGTCAGACTGACCGGGCGGGCTGCGTCTACCGCGTCCTCGGCTAACGCCTGTCTCGCGGCCCGGGCCAGGGTTATCGAGAACCGAGGTCATCTCGCGACCTTCTCTTCTATAAGAACGGCTGGCGGTGTGATAAGGATTAGCACAAGGAGGGGATATAGTGAAACGATTACGGAGAAGAAATTGGGTAAATAAACAAACAGAGATGCAGCCGCAGCGTAGCTCACCACGACATGGCCTTGCACTTGGATTTGGGGCCGGCGGGCCGGCGGGGCCTCGCGAGGGACCGAATCGTTAGATTGAGCTCAAGGGATCGTCCAGAAAGTATGATGCGGCCGTCTTTTGGCGTTACGAAACCGCCAAAAGTTCAGCCAGAGTAGGCTCTCAGAGCGCCTGCTAGGTAGGCAACTTCTCGCCAGTAGTGCATGGGTGTATGGCGGGTTGGCCTACTCCCAGTCCTGCAGGCGCCGAGCCTCCGCAATTTCCCGTTTATGAATCTGAGAAAAACGTACGCATTTTATGGGCGATCCGCAAGGCGCGTGGGCCTTAGCACATTGAGTGCGGTGCATTTGTAGACGGTCACCAAGACTGCTCTTTTTCGACGATCCAGTCTTATACCAGAAGGTTAGCGCGCGAGGGGAGCGGTGCGTTAGTTGATATCGTCATAAGTGTTAGTCTCCGATTTTGAGCCGCCTAGGAGGATTTGTAGGGTCAGCGTCAGCAAAGACGGACGACAACAACGCATAAGGCCGTGAATCTCAGAACAAATAGTCGTAACTCTAGGTCTAGTACGCAATAACGCATTTAATTCCAAACAATAATTTTGTACTAGATTTATTTCTTTTATTGGGATCGTCTATTTGTTAGCATGAAATGTTTTTTGTACACTCTAAATTGTTATTAACTTTTGTTTTTCCTGTGCATGCTCTGTTGCGTAATATTTTAAGCGCAATTGTGAACAAATTCGGAAATGTTTTTAGTTATGAACAATTTAATACCACGCTGCGTTTAGGAATAGTGCGGAATAGAGCATGCACAGGGAAATGCGTAAGTGTGTATAAATAAAAATTTAGTGTGTACCTTTATGATGACTCAACATGGGATCGTGACTACATTGAGAACCTCGTTGGTCATACTGCACTCGCATACTGCGCCAAGTCAAGTCCCTCTCGAAAGCTCGAGTGGAGCGCTGCAGCAGTCGATACGCCGCGCGTGACGTCTCCCGTCGCGGAGTATGGCCGGGCCGGGCGAGGCGGGGCGGTGACAGGGCAACAGAGTTGACGCCAAAGAGCCCCGTCACGAGCCGTCGTCGAGGCTCGGGGTTGCGCTGGTGCCGGCGCGCGTACAGTGTGTTTGAGAAGAGAGTGCGCTCTCACCTCTGAGGCGGCGTGATTTTTTTTATTTCGACCCGCTCTCTCCTCCGAGCGGCCCCAGCTCCCCCCCTCCCCAGCTCCTGCTCCGGCCGGCGCCGCCAGTGCGCTCCCTGAGGACTCGTACGTTGTCATTTGTCCACTATAACCTCTGACCCCAGCGCTGCGCAGGGCCAGGCCAGGCCGGGGCTGGTCGGGGCTCGCCACGGCACGGCACATCCGCTCGCTCCACGGGCTGCTACTGCTGCACCTACTTCCGTGCGAAACGAAACAAAAAAATATGGAGGTCGCAAAAGAGAGAAGCTTGCTCTCCTTTGAATCGTTACAGCCGTCGCCAGCGGCCGTCAGCGCCCCTGACTGAACTGACGCGCGCCTTCCAAGCTGTTATTTTATCCGGCGGAGATTGGCCAGCGGCGGCGCCTTGAACTGTCTGAATCACGTTCGACTCGTGGAGGAACACAGCAGAAGCGGACGATTCGCGCGCAGCAGCGAAGCCGTAGGGAAACTGCGAAACACCTGACCGCGCGCGCAGCTGGCTGAGCAGCTGGCTGAGCAGCTGGCTGCGCGTGGAGCCCTTCCCTGAGCCCCCCGGGCGGGCCAGGCCAGGTAAGGGCGGCTCCAGACCCAGCCGGCTGGGGGCCTCGCAGCCCCTCCCCCACTATGTGGAACTGCCCCGGAGGGGGCCGTATCAAACGTTAGCGAGGCATACAGTTTTCAGGCGCATGTGAGACCGTACTGTCTCTCTCTCTCTCTCTCTCTCTCTCTCTCTCTCTCTCTCTCTCTCTCTCTCTCTCTCGTTCTCTCTCTCTCCCTCTCTGTTTCTCCCAGTTTCTCCGCATGTGCTTTCCCGCTTTCATGACGCACCACTGCACAGTCATCCTAAACAGAATTTATTCGATCGAACTTCCCCGGCACTTGAACGGCATCCTCCGTGCTATCCGGATTGGTTTGATGGCCATGGTTTATACCAGGCCCACTCTCGTCGACCTGTTGGAGTGCGGAGTGAAGAGGAAAGTGCACCCCGCTGGTGCGGAGATGCATGTGCGTATGAAAGCAGTTTCGTGGTATCACGAATTATGTTCGCGAGCTCGGTTTTTCGCGCGTACAGCTGGGTCCGGGTGGGGGATTAACCCGCCCTTACTTCCTCGTACACCACCCCTCTCCCTGGGGGTGGGGGAGCCATTGGGGGTTTGTGGGGGGGGGGGGGGGCACGGGGCACGTATCGCGGCAGCGAGAGGCAGCAGTATGTGACTCGTTTCAATGAAAAATAATTTCGAAAATGCACGACTGGCGGCAGCGCCATAAATCAAGGAGGTTTTACCTGCAAAGACCTTGTCAGGCCCCTCCCCCTTCTCTGTCTCTCTTTTCATCCCCTGCCCTCTGGTCCCGTTGCTCGTTTTGTTCCCCTCTCCACCGCACGTTCCCTCTCCCTTACTGTTTCTCCCCTCCCCCTTCTGTTCTCTGACACTGATGCGGCGAGGGGAGAGAGAGAGAGATAGAGAGAGAGGGGGGGGGGGGATTTCTAATTTGTGGTCCACACAAGCTGCAGTGTTGAACTCCAAGGACATGAACGTGAACCGCTCGTTGACTCGACTTGTCGTACCGGGTGTTTTGGAGCACTCGCCGAAGCAGGCTGGATATTCCTACAGGGGCCATGGCGCCCGAGGGGGTCCTTAGCGTACGGGCTATTTCGTGGTGTTTCTAGTTTCTCCTGCCGTTTTGGTTCTTTCTCGCCTATTTCGGATTATTTCACGGTGTTTCGGGTCTATTTCGCCTTTATTTCGGACAATTTCGGGGGAAGGTGTACGAACTATTTTGCAAGTTATTTCCCCTTCGATGACGCCTCACGGGCAGAGGGAGTGGGCGAACCAGGGCGAACACCATGACTGAAACACCCGGTACTCGCTTTAAACAGTGTTAGTTGGAGGACTTTCTCGCAGCTCGCGGCCCGTGACTACACTGGGCAGGTGCTCGCGCCGCAGCGTGCAGCAGGCGCGAGCGCGCCGCGGGCGACTGGTAACGTTCTCGCCCGCCGCCCGCCACATGCGTCGCCGTTATGCAGAGTGCCAAAGCGCACCAGGCCATCACCAAATTGGGGCGGGGGAGCTGCGCGCCGCCGCGCCACGGGTGGTGCACATGTCATAAATATGAGCCCGGAGTAGGAGAAGGGAGGGGGTGTTCAGCTTATGGCAGAGTTTGTCTCCCCCACCCCTCGTCGGCCGTCGGCCTACGTACGCCCGCCTGGTCCCGGGCCGGGGTGCGGCGGCCCGACAAGCGAAGCACTGCCACGGACATGAGCCGAAGGGGCGAAGCGGTTCCTTCTGGGAGCGTGGGAACACAACTGTCAATAGCGCAGCTCGGGCCGCTAGCGCCCGCGTAGCGCCAACAGCAACAATGACGTTATCGGCAGTGCAGCCTCGGCCGCGGTGCTCCAGCTTCCAGCCTGCTCTCCTCCGTCCTGGCCCCCCCCTCTTTCTCCCCCCTAAGCCTCCCGCCCCTGCTCTCCCTCTCGTCCTGCTCCGCTCCACTGCGCTCCGTCGGCTCGCTCGCCCGCGCCGTAAAACGGCCTCCGGGATTGGCGCTGTCCACTAAGGCCTGAGGGTGTGTACGCGCCCCGTAAAATGTATCGTAATTGTCCGAGAATTGGCCTGCCCC